TCTAACAAAGAAACCTTCCACACGATTGTTTTGTCGAAATCAATAGGAAAAATAAAACAAATACAAAAGACAAATCAAAACTCTCGGAGTGGTTGCCGTCTCAGAGTTTTATTCTTGCTTTTTGTAAAAATTCGGTTTAACGCGGTTGGGCCATGTTTTCCGATTAGTCGAAAAGAAAAAACAAAAAAATACCCCCCCCCAAAAAAAAACAAAGTCGATTACTATTCACACAAAAGAATGACAGATAAAAATAAAACTTATCATTTACTTCGCAGGATCATCATTAATATTTGATAAAAGGTTTTGTGTCAGAGTTACATTCAATATATCCTAGTTTTCTTTCTCACTTAAACCTAAGATTAAAGCGGAGAATCTGTTGTTTGTTACGAAAACAGCGTTTGTAACGGATTTGGGATACAGATCTACATATAGGCTGATTTGAAATTCTTTCAACGTAGACAGTTTACGATAAGGCAGCTTTAAACGGCGATACTTAAAAAAAAAAAAAAAAAATTGAAACAGAAAAAAAATTAAAAACTTTAAACAAATAAACTGTTATATAGTGGTCAACAACTAAATTGCTATATAGTAGTCATCAACAAGAAAATATATACCTACAGCAAATCCTCAATGTATTCGTTAGATGTTAGGAAGTGTAAGATACGTCTGTTTCTCCAAAATTAATGTTAAAAATTCTCCTGTATTTCATATGTGGAAAGTCAGCCATTTAGGCATTATCAGTTTTATAGAAAAAATCGAACAGGATCGGATGTAGTCGCTGCAGGATCTTGTCTTCTTCTGTATGCTAAAAGTGAGTCTTATACAAAACTGAGTCCTATATACCAAAAATATGGTATACTAGCAGCATGGCCCGGCGTTGCCCGTGCTTGATTCAAAAATCGTATGACTCATACAGCAATCGCTATCACTTGACTTAAAATATTTTCGCCCTTCCTTGCCTTTAAAGGAGTGCCCTTTGCTGAGCTGATGTTGCTACATGCCTTACTTCTTGCCTATCTCACACTGCGAATTTTTTCTAAGCTCTATACTAAACATTAAATCTGTTACGAAAAAAAAAAACAAACAAACAAAATGGACACAAAACGATCAGCTTTAAAAAAGGACTCGTAACTGGAAGAACCAAATGAAAAAAGAATGTTAACAAATACGTTTTAACACCCAACCCAGTTCTACGGAATCAGAATCAATGTTGAATTTAAGCAAGCGAATGAGCCAATTGGAGTAAAGTGCCATGCAGATTTAATTTTTTCCCACTTGTGACGAATGCAGCTATCGATTTTTTTTACATGCTAGTTAACATTTGTGTCAGTCAGCTGTTGGCTCTCACTCTGACAAGTAGAAAATGGCCGCAAACTACATGAAAACTGCCGTAGAAGCATGAAAAAATCGATTATTTTCCCTATCGATGGGAGTTGGGAAATGCAAAGTCGGTTTTGGCCTTCCCGCTAACTTGGAGCATGTGCATGTAAATTTTGGTGCAAATCCGTCGAAAATTGCGGCTGTGCATTCGTTACACACACACACACACACACACACACACACACACACACACACACACACACACACACACACATCCTGCCTTTTATAGATAGAGATAATGGTTAAGTCATAAAGAAATGAACCCGAACACGTTATCCTCTGAGACAGATAAAGTTTTCATCGTCATCATCAAACAGTTTCGATCTGAGGTCATGAATTAACATTTTCTCTCATCTTCAGTGACATATACTGATTCGATAATATTTTGCCAGACTTCTCTGTCGTCTGCGAGTTTGCAGATTTGTTGCAGCTTGTAATCAAACGTGGGATCTTTCGGCCTTGTTCTTTGAATGTTTCGGTTCCGCGTTGTGACTCTGGTGGTTGTTGGATAACCTCTGAACTTTTTGAAGTCAGTCTTTTCAAAGTAAAACTCCATGGCTTCGTTAGCTGTGCATTTGAGAACCATTCGCAAAATATGTCCAAGAAGTTTCTATCTTACTTTCAAAATGAACAAAGACCAATGAGATTCTTGACATCTGCTGTGCAATTGTCTTTCTCTTTATGCAATGGCTTAAATAAGTAGTTACTGCGTAGCAGTTACTGGAGCAGCCATTAGCTACTTCAACAATAAAGATTTCAAGATGTTTAATCCGACTAAAGATAGATATATCCGAGATTTACTTGATCCCCGACTGAGCCAGTTTGTGACACAAGGTCAGTTTTTAACGTGGGGACCCGAGAGTTTCCACTCGAGCCGCTAGTCATAGCCGGTCATACCACCACGACGTAACAGATGTCAAGCAACGGTGGTGGCACTGGTCTTATCTTGTCTAAGCTGGTCTTAGCTGGTCATAACTTGTCTAAGCTGGTTAGAGCTCGTCTAAGTTAGTCATAGCCGGTCATACCACCGCCACATAACAGATGTCACACAACGGTAAAGGGAGAGCACAAAGGAGGAGAGGAAGCTTCAGGCACAGAACAGATACTACATCTGCAGCATCCATCCTAACGGAAAAAAAAACCTATTCTCCTCCTCTGATAATCTCTCCGACAGAATCCAGAAGGAAATCCCGACTGAGCCAGATTGTGACACAAGGTCAGTTTTTAAACGTGGGGAACCGTGAGTTTCCACTCAAGCCGCTGGTCTAAGCTGGTCAGAGCTGGTTATACCACCACTATGTAACAGATGTCACACAACGGTTGTGGTGAAGGGACGTAAGGGAGGAAAGAAGGCCCCCAGCACGGAAGAGATCCTACATTTGCAGCAGACATCCCGACAGGGAAAAACCACTTCTCCTCCGCTGCCAATCCCTCGGGTATTCTCAGGTATTCTTTGATAGCAGACAGAAGATTTCAGCTTGTCATCCTACGACTTTTGGCTACCTTATCGCAAGTTCCTGCATTTCGCCATACGACCTTTGGTTACCTTGCCATGAAGTATTCTTTGAAAACCGACAGGGGAGATCCTGCTTATCATCATACGATGATTATGTTACTATCAGGTATCCTTTGATAACAAACAGAAGATAGCTGCTTGTAATCTTTTGGCTACCTGACTATTAGGTATCATTTCATAACAGAGAATAGTTCCTGCTTGTAATACGATCTTGACTACCTTACCACCAGGTATTCTTTGATAACAGCAAGCAATTTCTTGTCTTCTTTACGGCATTTGCCTACCCTACCAGGTATACTTTGATAACAGACAGGAGGTTCCTGCTTGTCATACGATTTTGACTACCTTACCACCAAGTATTCTTTGATAACAGACAGCAGGCTATCGAAAATAAAGAAGGAAACACCACTGATATTCAAAACTGTTATATAGGAATAAAGTGTCGCTCCCGTCACTTGAGTTTGAACATAAATCGCCAGTGAGCAAACAGAGGCGATCCCATTTTTTAATTAAGTGTATCACGTGACCATAGAGGAAACGGATATATACGAAGTTGCGTGACGTCTCGATTGATCTGCACTTCTAATCTATCTTCTATTACTATACGGACCGCTATTCTCTATTCTATTCACTATACTATTCCTCTATTCGGATCACTATACGGATTACTATTCAAGCGCGTATTATCGAGCAAGTACTATTAGTGCGATTGTATTTCAAGGCGTTTGACACCGGTATTGTTCAACGGCGTTATTATAGTTGTAACTGCGATTACAAAGTCTCTACTACAACAAGCATTACGAAAGTGACAACGAGTATCCGTTTGCATCACAAAAGTGGCATCGAGTGTTCGTTGACACGACAAGAGAAACAACTCTGAAAAATGCTCTGTTGAATAAGGAATGGGTGGTGATGTTCGTTATAAAAAAGAAAAATAAATGATAGTTAATATAAATTTCGCCGTATTTCTAAAAGTTTTGTTGTTATTCTCTTTATCTTTTCTTTCTTTCTCTCATCCTCTCTCTCACCCTCTCCCACACACTCTGTCTCTGTCTTTCTCTCTCTATATGTGCGTGTATGTGGTTTCATGTGTGTGCCTGTGGGTTTATAGCTCATTGATCATCTCAACAGAAATAAGCTCCCGAGCGATAAATAGTATAGATTTTACTCGTCTAGGTCCACTGCTGATGAAAATATCAGTAAACACAAAATCAGTGCGGTACTTGAGAATAAATTCGACACAAGAACTGATCGCCTTAAAAATCTCAAAATCTTTTGACGAGGTGTGCCATAAATTTCCAGCTGCACATCTTTGCAATTATCAAGTCCTTATCAGGTAAGTCCGTGAAGGTCATTGTTAATGGTCATTCTCTTGATGCCCATGAAATCAATGCAGACCTTCTTTCAACGCTCACAACTTTTCTACGCTCCTTAATAGTAACGATCTACTTAAGAGCATTCTTAGATCATTTGTAAATATCTATGCAGATGATACCACAAATTATGGGCGAATCTCCAGAAATCTAGAAGACTAGAGTCTGGCAGCCGATCTCTCATCTGATCTCGCGCTAAAAGTTGAAATGGTGAAAGACTGGCCTGTATCATAATGTTGGGTGAACAACAGTAAACAAAAGTAGATGGTCTGCTATCAAAAGCAGGAAAAGGATTTTTTTTTCTAAGCAGGAAGTTTGGAGGACCATTTCTGAATTGGTAAACTTTAATAACAGGACATTCATTCTCAGAATAGGAGAAAATTAAAAAAAAACTCAAAATATTTAATCGCAAATATTTTAAATTCAAACAATATCTATGTTCATTGTTGAAATATTTAACTCCAATAAATTAACATATAAGAAAAATAAAAGGGAGACAATTTTAACGATAACAAAAAGTTTCATTGCAACTTGGCATAACGTATGAATGCCATATAAGGATTTGCTTGTTTGTCTTTTAGGCGTATTCAGTCGGTTTGACAAGCAATCAAAGTCAGTGATTACGGTCATTATTTCAAAGTCGAGCATCTGCCATGGGCGTGATTAGATGCTTAAAATATTCATCATTTCAGCCTGAAGAAAATATGATAAAAACAATAACTATTTTACAGTTATTTACCGATATTCGTTGTGTTCCTCTGAAGTTTCATGGAGGAGAATCTATCTATCTATCTATCTATCTATCTATCTATCCTATCTCTATCTATCTATCTATGTATCTCTCTTTTATATATATATATATATATATATATATATATATATATATATATATATATATATATATATATATATATATATATATATATATATATATATATATATATATATATAAGTATGTTTCTATCTATACCTATTAAGTATCTATCTATCTATCTATCTATCTATCTATCTATCTATCTATCTATCACACTGTAATAAAGATAAATTGACAAGAATTACGTTCTTTATCAAAGAAAATCGTCGAAAATGCAAACAAATTTGA